TCAGTGACCTTCTGGTTCTTCCTGCAGACTCCACACTTGATCCACCTCTGCTTCAGCTTTAACGCTTCCTGAGTGGAAGAAATTTTCATGATACATTATCCCCCCCCCCCAAGAAATAAACAGAAATGAATATTGAAAAGCCATCCATCCCTTTTTTGTGACAGTGAGCATTAATATGTTGGGGCATAAAACCAAAGATAAAAGAAATCATCAATCTGTAATGAACTCCTCTCCCCCAAATCATAAAAGATCTTTGGGGCCACCTGGGGATTTAGTATTTAGTTTTCATACTTTCCTTAACACTATGTAATCCACAAAGAACAGCCATGACCAAGAGCATGTGGATTAAGGGACCAGTTTCATACATGAGAAAGCTTAAACTTGAGTTAGACCCAACCCTCTTCCAATGCCACACTGGATGTCATTTGTAAAATGAATTGATTCATTAATGAAATCCCATTATCACTTTGCCACAGAAAGGGTATAGTGTACAGAATCAATGAGCCTGTTTAAATTCCATCAATCCCTCAGACTGAAGTGAGAGGCTGTCAGTCCCAGTGAGCTCAAAATTTTGAAGCATGCCAGCCACAATAATATGAAAAAAAAAATCTTATCTCTTACTCCCTACTGTGCACAAAATAATATAGATCAAGGCTCTGTGATGTGCTTAAACTTCACTATGATGTGTGATTCCCCAAATATGCTGAAAGTTGTTACACATGTACGTAAATATTGTCCCTTCATTTGATTTGAAATAATACAAAAAGCAATTATCACTGAAACCCACTTAAGAATTTTTCTCTGCTTATCAGCTCATCTGCAGTGGTTCATGCACTGAAATTAAGAATGAGACTAAATTGTCAAATGTATTTTTGGTCTCCTATTAATATCATAATCTGTGTAGACAACCCATTGAAACTTCTCTTCAATCATGAAGATGATTGCAAATGTTCTATTTAAATAAGATTTCACTTTTCATTAATGGGGATTTTAGGCCACTGTAAAAGATACATAGGTATATAATAGATATCCCAATAAAGTTTTTTGGGGAAAAAAAACCAGTAAGTATTTTTTTTGGTCATACATGAATTAATAGTGGCTTAAAAGCAGTTTGCAAAGGAGGGGGGTCTACAGTGCATTCTGTAGGCATAGTGAAAATAATGTGAACTCCTACTTCTTCTGAACTTCTTCAGCTCCAAGCCTTCCATTTTTAATGAGATTGCTTTTTACACCATGTACTTTTTCATTAGAAGAAGGTGGAAGTGAGTCCTGTGCTTTCAAATGTGGCAGATATGCTAAGGTCACAGGAAGAATTAATTCAAGTGAAATAGGGACATAACATTCTGAACTGTTGAAATCTACCAAGGAAGGAAATTGTGGCCAACATGGATTCAGATAGAGGGTTCTTTTTAGAATATTATGTCACCTGCAATATTCAAGACATGTCATTGCTCAAGGACAGACTGTATTAGCACCTGCTATTTATTACCTTTAGTTCACTTACGGCCTATTATGCTGTCTTGAGGAGACATGGATATGCATCGGGGAGCTCCCAGGTACTATGTACACTTTGCCTGCCCTGACAGCACCTATCATTATTAAAAGAAAACCCACTGTTCTGCTGACCATGACACTAGAGTTTGGATGAGATAGTGTTTATCTCATTTGGACTGTGGCTTTAGTTTGTTTCTTGATGTTTAGGCTAAGTCTTGGCAATGAAAGTCAAAATGAAAAATTGAGACATCTGAGTAAGTGCTTGAAAATCGGGTGAACCAGGATATATGGAAAATTAACTTCAACTTTCAGAAAAATGATTATAGCCCTAAATTGGATTAAAATTATAATATCTATTGTTGATGAAATTAGGATTCTGATGTCTGCATATATTGAACGCATATTTTCGTTTGTTTTATTTTTTATACAATGTAATGCTGCTTACCTGTTGATCCTTTTCTCCCCCAGACTTTATTCTTGAAAGCAATTCATAGGTAAAATGACAGATAAAGGGGACAAATATGAAAATGTGCTATTTTTTCCTCATGGTTTTTTCTTTTTGATTTGAAATAATATATTTTATAGAATGGTATGATATAAGCAATCCAAACACAAAACACACATGGACACAAAAAATGACAGGTAGAGTAATTTCCTTTTGCCTGTAGTGGCTTAAAAAAATTGAGATTATTGAAATTTCTTAGTTGAAAAAATGTTTCTGGATGTATAAATAAAGCAGCAGTTTTGAATAGAAACAGGAAGTTACCTAGGCACATTCATCAGCCACATGGTAGCTACCTCTTAGCCTCATTGTTGATTGTGCAAATGAGACTTTCTTTTTATCACATTAATATGTTTTTGGTTTTGTTTTTCTTTCTTTTTTTTTTTTTTACAGAGACAAAAGAAAGCATATTGGTTTCATATTCATTTGAATTATGCCTAGGATAATCCTTATTTATACAAAGAGTTCACAGAACAGAAAAAAAGAAAAAAAATATGGTTCCCATATATTTTTACTAATACCCCCTAAACTTTGGGGGCCCAGTTTTAAAAAAGATGAAGCTTAAGTTCCAACCTTTCAATACATGGGTAGCTGAAGGATGGAACAGAAGAGAGCATAAATCTGGGATTCTCTCTAAAGCATGGAAAACCATAAAGGTGAATGTGACCAGTTGGATTTTCTCTGTAGCACATGCTACATTTTTCTTGGATATACTTTCTTCTAATTTGACCACAAAAATATAGAGTCATTCTCATTTGAATTTCCAATTCATGGGGCTGCCAATAACAGAACCTTATTTAAATAGTGGAATAACGATAATTTCATGAGACAACCTCATTACTCATATTGACCTAAAGGGAATACTATTTACCTTTTTAATTTTTTAGTTTTTAAAAGCCTACCCTGTTTTTCTTTTGCAGTGCACTTAATGCACTTACCTTCTCCTTCTGGACCAAGACAGGTTCCAGTGATTTATTCAGTTTGTGAAGAGAGCTTCAACTATTTGATTCCAATGATTCATTCAGAGAGAAATTCTATTGAATGGTTCAATTAACAAAATTCCACTTCAATGTCCTTAATTCCAGGTAAAACTGTACAGGTCAAACACAAATTTCATGAACCAAAAATGTAGAGATGTTTTCTAGATAAGTCAATTTAATTCATTTTAGACAAAGTTTTGCATCATTCTAAATGCAAATATATCTCCTTTGGCTTTAGTGATTGATTAAACTTCATTCTTTTGGTTCTTATTAATATAAATCATACAATTTCTTGATTGTCAACTAGCATTTTAAGAGCTTCTTTAAATTCCACTAATAGAATCCTCAAACTTATTAGTCCTACTTTCCTCAGAGAGATAAACTGAAATAAAAAAGGTCTCATTTGTCTTTCTTTCTGGCAACACCAAGATATAAAAATACAATGAAAAGAGGCAAAAAGAAGATACCCCCTCCCCAATTGCAGAATTAAAGTGGCTATTCATGGTAGATCATGACAAAGATGTGGTGAGAAGACAAAACCAAGAGGTGTTGAAATTTAGAAGGAAGACTATTGTTACAAATACAATAAGACCTTTTTAGGAGACATTCACCATTTCACAGGATATCACTAAACTTTTTTGACAAGTGACCTTTCAGACCAGGTTCAGGAAGTGTCATTAGTTCAAAATTGATACAAAGAAATTTCAACCTGCTAAACAAGTATGTTGGCTCATTAGTGGCCATCAGTACAGGTTTCACTATTCAAAACAGCTAGAGAGGAACCAGAGAAGCTCACAGAATTTGAAGCCATTTGGCTCTATCACTTGGTATCCAGAACTCTTCATGCTGGAACTGCCAAACACAGCAGGTGCAAGCTTCTACTATCCATGAATATACATTAAAATATTTTTTAAAATTTTTTTTGCAGTATGTAAAATACCAGTGGAAGGTAGTTTAAACAAACAACAAAGTAAGAACTGGTCCGGCCATGTAGGTCAAATAAAATTTAAAAAAAGAAAAAACAAAACAAAAAAAACCTCTATCTTCTGGACTGTAATAGGATGTCACTTCATCTTTGGTATAAAATAGGCCATCCATAGGCTGAATTTGATCACAACTAGGAAAGACTACAGAAATTGTCAACAATTTCTCTATCTATTGCTTTTTTTGTTTTTTTTGTTTGTTTTTGTTTTTGCACTTTTTGACCATAAGCTCCTATCTACTTAAGTTTTTTTTTTAATGTTCTTAAGCTAGGTTTTGCAATGTGACAAGCAAAGCTGACTAAAAACTTTGTAAAGCTCATAAAAAAGACTGCAGATAAAAAGCACTAATGCTTTTGCTAGCAATCACGCTTTGTAAATAAAAAAAATCTGCATTCTGCCCCCCAAACACGCATTATTTCTAATGCAGTTGTTTTAAACCAACATTAATAATTTTACCATAAAATGTTTTAGCCTTCTAGAATGACTCGTGTCAACACTTAAGACAAAGTTCATGAAAAGTCCCAGCATTTTCCCAATTCTTGCCATTGTCATGGTTTCTTTTATCAACAAATTTTCTTCAAATGAAGAAAAACATTTTCTTTTAAACTGTACAGTTTTTTTCACCCTAAAAACTCATAGTCTTAAACTTCTGTACCAGTTAAAGCTGGCACAATATTTCAATTCTTTCTTGATTTTTTTTTTAACAAGACGTTGACAGCTTGCCTTGAGAGCCTTTGACGTCCTTAAAATTAAGGCAATTAAGATTCAAGATAAACCTTACCTAAATATTTCTAAGAAAAAATAAAATAAAAAAACCAACCCACTAGATTTAAACAAGAAGAAAAAAAGAAAGAGTAGCTTAATTACTGAGGAAGACAATTTGTTTCCATTTCTGTTTGCCCACCTCTTAACATCAGGTTTTCTGTTAAAATTTTTTTTTATCTACACCTTCAGGTAAATTCTGAATTCATATGTTCTTCCAGATAAAATGTCACACTTCGAAGTTTTGTTTTAATGTTTTTTTTTTTTTTTTCCCCTCTTCTGGGATTTTTTTCTTTAATTAAAAAAAAATAATGGCAAAAATAAACTGTCAGACCACATGAAGGAACCATTTGCACAGCACATAAAAACTTTGTTTTCATTGGGTAAAGTATAAAACTGAAAAAAAAAAAAAAAGCATTCCATTGACGTCTGTGCAAACTGGAAGCCAACTTCTTGTTCAATGAAGTTTCTTCATTCAAGGCAAAGTTTCAGACGGACATTCTTCAGTCCTGCCTATGGTCTGTGAAAACAATGGAATAAGAGTGGTCATTACATCAGAGCAACTTTGAAACTGCCTCTGTGCTCTTTTCCAGTGAGGTCTCTTTAGAAGATACCAAGCTCTTTCAATATAACACAAACATGAAAGATATTATAAAAGCATATTGAGCCTTAAGGTTGTCAAATTCTGCCATTTTCACACAAATATATATTCAAGCCAGAGAGTCTGTTCACATTCAAAGTGAAGATTAGTAGATAAAGAATATCTTTCAATTTCAAAGCAATAAATATTACAAATGTACACAAAATATACCCAGAGATGTAATACTCCCTATGAGTGTGGAACCTAGTTTTCATTTATTATTG